AAACTTGATTTACATAAAATTTAGAATGGAAAAGGGGAGTGTGTCAAAGAGACAACAACCCGACCATAGAACAGACAACAGCAGAAGGTCACCAACAGGTCTTCAATGCAGCGAGAAATTCCCGCACCCGGAGGCGTCCCTCAGCTGGCCCCCAAACAAACACATACATACAGCCCAGTGATAATGAACGCCATACTAAACTCCAAATTGTACACAAGAAACTAAAATTAAAAATAATACAAGACTGACAAAGGCTAGAGGCTCCTGACTTGGGACAGGCGCAAAAATGCGGCGGGGTTAAACATGTTTATGAGATCTCAACCCTCCCCCTATACCTCTAGCCAATGTAGAAAAGTAAACGCATAACAATACGCACATTAAAATTCAGTTCAAGAGAAGTCCGAGTCTGATGTCAGAAGATGTAACCAAAGAAAATAAACAAAATGACAATAATACATAAATAACAACAGACTACTAGCAGTTAACTGACATGCCAGCTCCAGACTTCAATTAAACTGATTGAAAGATTATGTCTTCATCATATGAATATCAGGCACAATCCTTCCCGTTAGGGGTTTAGTATCATACCATCATAACATATATGAGAAGAACATAACCCGTGTCATGCCAACAACTGGTTTTTAAATAAATGTGTTTAGTGCCGATGCAAAGACCCTATAAGTGAATCAATATTAACGCCAAAATATGCAATCTTTAATGACCTGACAACAGTATCGTAACTATATCCCTTCTTAATAAGTCTATTTAAAGGTTTTGTTAGCTTCAGAGGTGAATACTGACATTTTTGTGTTTTATAAAGAATATTTCCATAAAAAATTGGATGTGAAATACCTGAACGTATAAGACGTCTGCATGTTGAGCTATATTTACGAATGATGTCCTTATACCGATGATAAAATTTAGTAAATGTTTTGACTAGTTTGTGATATCGAAAACCCTGGTGTAATAATTTTTCAGTAATACATAAATTTCTCTCGTTAAAATCTAAAACATTGTTACATACACGAGCGAATCGTACAAGTTGAGATATATAAACACCGTAAGATGGTGACAAGGAAACGTCACCATCTAAAAATGGATAATTAACGATAGGAAATGAAAAATCATCTCTTTTATCATATATTTTAGTATTAAGCTTTCCGTTAATGATATAGATATCAAGATCGAGGAAAGGGCAGTGGTCATTGTTAGTATTAGCTTTATTTAAAGTAAGTTCAACAGGATAAATTTCTTTAGTATACATACTGAAGTCGTCATTATTGAGAGCCAAAATATCATCCAAATATCTAAAAGTATTATTAAATTTGTGTATCAGATGTTGTTTCGATGGGTCTTTGCTGATTTTTGTCATAAATTGTAACTCATAGCAATACAAAAAAAGGTCCGCAATAAGTGGTGCACAGTTAGTCCCCATTGGAATTCCGATAACCTGACGATATACGGAATCTCCAAAGCGAACAAAAATGTTATCTAGTAAAAATTCAAGGGCATATATAGTATCAAAGCATGTCCAATTGACATAGTTTTTTTGTTTATTGCTACTAAAAAATGACCTAAAAGAGTTTGAACATATATATTCACATTCTGACTTTTTAAATGCCCATTTAATTAGGTGTGTGAATTTTTTCTTAATGAGAATGTGAGGCAATGTGGTATATAGGGTAGAAAAATCAAAACTTTGAACAGATTCAAAATCACCAATATATGCATGCAATTTATCAAGTACTTCCAACGAGTTCTTGACACTCCAAAAGTAATTAATTCCACTATTTTTCGAAGGCCTTATTTATGTATGTTTTGTTATTTAATATCAGTCGTTTAAAGAGCTCTTAAGAGCTCATGTTCCTTGTTATTATGTATATATGCAACCCGACTTTAAATAAAGATTACTTTACTTTTACTTTACTTTACATCCATGATAAACAATATTCAATGGCCCTTACTTGCTGAGCGCCGCCTCAAAACCAGGCTGATTATGATCTACAAATTCATCCATGGACCCAATGCAATTCCATCGCTAGTCATTATACTAACAGAAACTAGAACAAGAAAAGCACAAAACCAATCATTTCGGCAAATATCCACCTCAAAAGACGGTTACAAATGGTCATTTTTTCCACAAACAATAATACAATGGAACTTGTTACCACAAATTGTAGTAGCATGTCAAACAATTGCAACCTTTAGAGAACATAGATACTTGGGGACAGGACAGTTTTCTTTTAGCCCTCCCCCTTTTTTCCAAAATCTGTCATTTTTTTGTTTTCTTTTAAATTTAATTATGCTAAGGAAGTTATCATCGTGAACGAAATGTAAGAAAATAAAAAAGTATTCCCGTTTTCAGTTTCACATTCTTGAATAAATATTCGTGAACGAAATATAAGAAACTAACTTGGAAATAGCATTAATGCATGAACTATATGCCGTAGTAACAAAAATGAAACTTAAAAAAGAAATGCAACACATATTTTATAAAATTTAACAAAATTAGAATTTTACACAATAAAAATGCTATTTCTATGTCATTTCATACAATTCATTTAAATAATCGTTCGTGAGAATTTTAAATTTTAGTTGAGAACCGATTAATTGAAGACCACACACTAGCCTGATCACAAGCTTTTTACACGGTAAATTGTTCATGGGGAAGAATGTAGCATCTGGGATTCCCAACTTGAAAGGAACAGTGTTGGGTCCTCTACTGTATGTACTATATATGAACGATCTACCTGACAATTTAAACTCGGATGCTTACCTATTTGCGGAGGATACAAAGATGTTTAGAATAATCAAAGATCCAAGCGAAAGAATTATTCTCCAAAACGATCTGAAAAACATAGACACATAACGTAATAAATAACTACTAAAATGAAGAAAAAAAATCTAAGCACATAAACTTATGCAGAAAGGCAAACAATTATGACAAACTTAATTCTAATGTATTATTGACCAAACAATTACAAAATGAAAGAGAAAACGTATATCGGAGTTTTAGTGGATTCATAACTTACATTTGAAAATCACATATTAAGTAAATAAGTCAACAAAGCTATCTCGATCGTTGTGGTTCTCAGGAGAACATTTAATGTATCTGAGCACTGATACATTCTTACCATTATATAAAATTTTGGTCAGAACACACTTGGACTAAGCTTGTTCACTTTGGTCACCGAATGATGGAAAAAAAACATATTGATAAGATAGAAGGAGCACAAATTGGGTAAGTACACAACTACCAGGCCTCAAATTAAAGATCTCAGTTACCTAGAGAGACTTAAAAAAAAATAGGCTTACCAACATTAGAATACAGACAAACCGGAGGGGATATGATTGGAACTTTAAAAACCATAAATGTTTATAACGATAAGGAAGCAAGCTTTTTATAAAAATTGGCAGAAGACTCGCAAAAAAGAGTTAGTAGTAGAACGGATAACAAGAAGGTGCTCAACCAGAGGTGTCAATCGAATTAAAAAAAACTATCTTTCGCTGTAAGTGGAATAAAATTTAAAAAAAAAGGTCCAGTAATGATTATAAAAATCGACTTGCTAAATATTGGAAAAATTTAGAGATCTTCTTTTAAATTTATGATTATAAAGCAGAAATACCCGGAGTCACGAAAATGGAAATGATAACGCTAATCCAGAAATAAATTATGAGTCTGATGAAGAGAAACCCTTAGTATGATGTACTGGAAATCAACTCTAAGTAAAACGGCTGCAGTTTCAGTTTGCTAATTCAAAATATTTATTTGTATGAGTTTGTTGTTTATACCAATACTGGCTTTAATACAACGGTGGAGAGTGTGCGTCGATTTATTGACAGTGCGCGAGAGCAGTTTTAAAGCTCACAAAACTTGGTAATTGAGTGACATTAAATATCATTTTGATGCACCCACCTTACTGTCCTTTTTTTAGTGTTAAGGAAGTTTTTTTACATCATCTACTGACCACATTACGCTAATTGCTAATTTAAAGGCCACACCTAACAACTCATATAGTTGCCAAAAATACCGCCATCTGCAAATGAAGAGCTTTTCAGTTGTCCTACGTTAGTAAATTGAATGCAGTCAACATCATGATGGAGGCATAAATTCATGAAAATGTTAAAATTGTAAAGGAAATGATACAGGAGGGATTCATGCTTTAAATTGGAATTTTGAGGTCGAAACTGTGATATTTCTATATGTACAGTAAAAGCCATCATGAACAAACTCTTTCGACTTTTCGTATATCATTTTATCTGTAATTTCAATATTAACATTACAAGAAATAAAAGACTTTGTGAATGTAAATGAATGTAAAGAAAGAAGGCTTGTTGGTTGCATTTAATCACTTTCATTTTTTGACTGTAATGCGACTGTCAGTATATTAATTGCACTTGCGCTTAAAGTAAAATCGAAGACAAGTCATCTCTTTCAAGAAGGATCAACACATGACAATATAAAGTTAAGATCCTTCAGAATTTTGTACAAAAAGTATGTTTTGTATATTTATCCCCTTTATTTGAAATATTGATTTATTGTATTTCCGGCTTATTATTTCTTAATAGATACATGCAAACCTGTCACCGACTTCTTTAATGTGTATCATATTCTGTGTTTCTAAAAATCAAACGAGACCTCGACTCTACAATAAAATTTGACTAGAAAGTATATAATGAGCATTTAGAAGTCACCATATGGCATACAGCAATGTGTAACATACAAGTTAGATTCTAAAAATAAAACTTGTACAGTACAATGTATATGAGCACATCGAAAATATCCAACATTGGCTTAAGATTTTCTTATGATGGCTAACAATCTTCTGAAGGAGGTAACGGCTAGTTTTTCGAATATTTAACACATCTAGATTAACATTAAAGTGTAGCGTGAGCAAATCAGTTCACCTTGCCTTAATGATAAGCTTATAACCTTACATGAATGTCTCACTCAAGATAAGAACATTTAATTTTGAATCATACGTGAATGCTAATGTAAAATGAATACAAATATCCCTCCGATTTACTTAACGATTATATTTCTTTTGCCAACAAGTCGAGTACTGTCGCAGGAAGAAGCCAAACACACAGAAACACGTCTGCAGAGACTGGAGATCATTCTCGACAGACAACAGTCTGTTATCAAGGAACTTCAAACTGATATTAGAAGACTGAATTTGGAAATTACCGAATGTACATCTATGAAAGGTTTGGATTAAATAATGTAACAATAACTTTACTGCTGAAGTCGAATAGCGGATTATTAAAACGTTTGATTAGTCATTTTTTTTTACTTAAAATACCGCTGTTTTGGGAATTTGTGAAATGGAATCAAATGATTTTTGGAGTCACGAGCGTTTAATTATTTTTAAGGTAGCTGTGGTGTCTAAGTGTTTGACGACAGATTTTTCTTGGTTAAAATTCAATGAGTGAATTGCTTTTCATAAATACTTCCAAATATCAAATACAAATAAGGGTTCACGGGCCTTATGATAGTTTAATGTTTAAATATCAAGTTTTAGATGTTTCTGTTGTACATGTGTATATTGAATGGTACTGAGTAAAAATATTTTTAAACCAAAAAAGTGTGTTTGCAACATGCCCAGAAGGAATGCTCAGAAAAAGACACCCAATCTACTTTGAATAGAATTTGAGTTTCCGTAAATGTTTACTCATATCAATAATATTTTTTATACAGTTACGGAGAATTATGAAATAAGATCTAGAATGAAATAGCAATATTATAATTTGGCCCGCCGAACAGGAAAACATATAATATTTGAAACTCATCTTTTCTTTTTGAAGCAATTGTTTACTATTGAAGTTCAGTATCATGTTTGTTTTTTGCGCCTGATTGTTTGTTATTTATTTATTAATGTTTATTTTATTTTTTTCCTCGAGAATTTTTCGATTTATACAGGTTAGTTAAAATATCAAATTTCAAAAGGAAAGCGTATAATATTAGCCAATTGTGTATGTGAATGCCAAATTTAAGTTTGTTTTCATATGACATGTACCAGTTCAGAAGAGACAGAATTCTCCAAATGAAGTTGCATTTTCAACGCAACTAACAACACATAAAACTGGACTAGGCCATCATGCAGCAGTTGTATTCAACAAGGTAAATCAATTTATTTGCACAGTTGACATTTTTATCTGTTATACACCATGGAACTGAAAGGTAATATAAAAAAAGTTAACATACATTAATTTACCTATTTAATTTATAATTAACACATTATCTTATGTTGAATGTTCTATCAGTAAAGGTTGGTTTATGCAGTACACTAAAATTTACTAGACATTCATTCATCTGATATTCGTGTAATTTTTATCTCGTGTGTACGTGTTGAAGGTTAGTCCAGAAATACTTATTCTGCATAAAGAAATCATTGCATAAGTCTTTCACTGCCTTTAAATTATGTCAATATGACGATCATCGAAGTGTAAGCTACCACTGCAAACGCGTGTATATCTAATCAGCAAGAAAATATTTACCCAATGAAAGGTTCACAAACAATGACAAAGGATAGCTGTCCCGTTTATTATTTTTGTTATGAACATTGCCTTGCTAAATTTTCTTATGTGAAGGTCTTATGTTGAACGAACATTAGTCATTCTTAATGTTGGGCTTAGGAGTGAGTGGATTTGGATACATTTTATTTGAAGAATTCAGAAAATCTTGATAGTTCGAATATATCGTCTTATATCTGCAGAAATAGTTTAGCCATAAGCGGTGATTCATAAATTGGCATTTGTTATAAGGATTTTCATTTATTCTTCAAAATAGAATTCTCAAATGCTTTAATTTGTACTGCTCTAAATATTCATAAGTACAATTATTACTTTCAATATTCCTTTTGAACACATTTTCTATAGGTTATACTGGATACAACTTCCTCATACAATAAAGGCGATGGTGTATTTGTTGTTCCCATGGCTGGTATCTATGTATTTACTTGGACAGTATCAGTAGGAGATGGACACTGGGAGTCAACAGAATTGATTGTTAATGGCACTCCCTATGCTTATTCCAAAGTGGACACAGCTAACGGTAGTGACTATGGCAGTGGTACTCAAACTGTTGTACTAAAGGTAATCAGACCTTTGTAAACTGAATATACTTCATATAACTTCTTTTGTAGACGAAAGATACAAAATTTCATCCTGGTATCTATGATGAGTTTATTCACATACACTATTTTTTATTAATGATATATATTTATGTGTGTGTGTGTTTGCCTTGTCATTTGAAAAGGTTATCTTATTGTGCTAAACATCTTTGATAGTTACAGTTTCTCTCTATCTACTGTAGTTTCTACAATAAACTCAGAAAAGCTAAAATCGTAACTCAGGGGCATTAACTCCTCTAATGGGTTAATTGACGATATCGGTTATGTTGACTTCTTCATAGATCTTATTGTTCTGGTAATATTCACTATTCAAGTTCCTCTTTGTCTATAATATTATTCATTATAATAACTAAACATTTTGAAATTTGCTGAAAAAAGGACATTTCAGGGACATTTACTCTAAATTGGGTTTTTCCGATTTCCTAAAACATTTCTGGCAGAACTTGATCTGCTGATCATTTCACCCTAAGTGAGTTTTGCTCTTGCTGCTTTAGTTTTTGAGATATAAGTAAACAAATGCATTTTACACTAAGTGTTCTTTTTAGAAACAGTGACCATGTTTGTTGATGGCTCAAATCCCCTGATATACATGTAAAACTAAATTCCCTATGAAACATTCAGGTAACGTTTGATGATATTTGGCCGAGTATATTAAAAATAGAAGATGTTTTGCAAAGTTTATAACGACGGGGCCCACAAAGCTCACATAGCCGTTTGGGTCACGCGAACTATAACTGGATTTGTAGTGTTGTTATATATTTTTCCAAAATATTTCATGCTAAAACAAATATTAAAATATTTTCCAAACAGTTATTTAAGTTATCCGACTTCGTAGTACATCTGGATATGATATAATTGATTTACTTGTATACATCTTAAGAGTTTATTTGATTAAATAAGAAAAAAATACTGCTCTCTTTTTCAAAACTTATACCATCGCGAAATAAATATTGACGTCAGAAAACTATTTTCTTTCTCGTGATTTTGTGTAGTGATTACAAAAAGCAGTAAACGATATATAAAACATAATATCTTCGTAAACATTTAGTTTGAAGATAAAAACACATTAATCATAAATTCAGAGCAATGAAAGAAACAGGATATGGTGCATTGTTTCTTGGCCCCCAAAAATCATACACACACATGACACAACCAAACGCAAAGGAACAGTTCGTTAATTGTGGTTCGTCACTTCAAAGCTCCATTAACTTCTTAAACACGACCCCGTATAATTAGCACCAGTTTTATCGAATACCTTGGCTTTATTTTTGAACAAGTTTCATGCAGCTCTTCATTCATGAACATTATATATTTATATATAAATTTGTCTAATTCTTACTCGATTGATACCTTTCCCAACAAGTTGGTTAAATTTTTATAATCAACGCGTGGTTTGTTAGATCTCAGTCTTTCATTGGTCATAATTCGATTATGACATAAGATTCTTACGCTGTCCTCTGAATTTCCTATTGTGTCGACACGAAAAATAGCGACCATGTCTGATGACGTCACGTAGACAGAACACAACATTTTACAGATTATTGATCACAGATTCCGCCACCATATATCTCGTGATATATGATATTTCTCCACTCTCGACAGTAAAATATATATATTATGTCCCTTTGGTATCTTTTGTCTCTTTTATATATAGAATACAAGATATCTTCACTGTGAAGGCGATTTCCCAAAACGTCCATGCATTGTGTTATGGCATGCCTGAAAATTTAGGATAGGTACAGAGGCAAGACAAAAACTACAGTTTTTTGCCTAACATAAAGTAGATCAAAATGTTGATATATTACAGTTTTTTTAAATGTATATAAAAACTGCAAGAATACCAAAAAATGTCGAAAACTAAGTGTAAATTGTTAGCAACGAATATTCTTCATAATTTTATTTAATGTTTTTACTTATTCCCTATTATAAATTATTTTCCTTTTTTCGTAGTTTAAAGTTTATTATGCTCATATATGTTCAAGCAATTCTAATATTAATGTTATGCCCTTTTTTATAATAGGTAAACCAAGGTGACCATGTATTGATAAGAACGGGGAACATAGGAGACGGAGTCGTAGACGGCAAAACGTATGATACATTTTCGGGCTGGATTTTGTTTCCATTGCAATAAATTGAAATTTGACACTTATGATATTGATAACTGTACCTATTCGACTTTTTTTTTAAAAAGAAAGGTTTCTTAAAATCTTTCTTAAGTCATCTGTATCACCCGTGCATGCTGGTTTTTTTTTTCCTTTTTCATCATTGCAAGCATTTATATGTCGTGATAAATTGGATTAATTCTAACTTCAGTTTCTTCAGTTAACTGTTTGAATAGTGTGCATGAATTTCAGTTAATAAAATAAAACTGCCAGGTATCCTATTTTATCTGCATTTCCTATTGTACATGTTGTATGTATGCATTTCGTTAAATAAAATAGAACCTTCAGGTGTTCCAGGTTATATGCATTTCGTTAAATAATATAGAACCTGCAGGTGTTCCAGGTTATATACATTTCTTCTTGTACACATTGGATCGCACTGGTTGAGTGGTTTATACCATTGTTTTATAAACTAGCAGTGGATCAAAAAAGCAATGTTGTTCGCTACAAAGAATATATGTATAATTGTTGAAACAGTTCTAACACATAAAAGCTGCAAAACCCCAAAAGTACACAAACAAAACCATCAAAAATTACTTACATTGAAGGAAGTATAAAATAATCAGATAAGATAATCGCAAGAATTGATGTGTTATCTTTTCAAATCGAATAACGACAAGATTGAACCACCCCCACTCTCCGTAAAAGACACAAACATAACATTTTAGTATACATTTTTCTGTAGCAATATGTATTCTATAATGTGTTCTGATTAAAACATTAGTTTCCTGATTTCATGTTCGTGTTACGTTCTCCTTTTACAACAAATCAAACAAAAACGAAATAAAAAAACACAGAAACAAAGAAAAAAAGAATCAAACACAAAACCCTGAAAAACATAAAAAACCAAGCAAATAAGTACATTTTACATGGAGGTGTATAACTTTCAGAGGGAGTGAGGCATATTATTACTACCTATGGCTTCAAGGTCAAAATTATTTAACTTTCGGGACATTGTGGATGGAACATAATTTTTCCACTTTTGACATAGACTCAAAGGTGTAAGAACGGTCAAATCTAACAACGAACAACTTTTTATCAAAGAGTCTCAATCTTAATATATGAACAATTACTATTTGTTTGACAATAAAAAAAAAGAACTTGTTGAACAGTACCTTCCTTTGAAGGTTGTTTATAAATGTGTTACACTCAGAAACATATCCTTCTATCGAACGTGTCCAATTCCCCAAATGTGCCATTATGACGCCACAATGCGCCCAAACATGTCTATCTTGTGAAGGACGAAAAAAACGAATTATTTATTCAACTCCTAATTCTCCATACTTTAAAATGCCCAAATGTGTCCATCGAGTTATGATTCGTTAATAAACGAGGGTATGCATGTTCTTTAAAATCAGTTATCAGATGGTCTTTGGCTTACGTTTTCGTTAAATTGATTAAATTTGTGTCGTAATAAAAACACTTTGTAGGTTTTTAAAGTTTGAGCTTTTATTTGTCAAGTATTTTCTGTAACATTCAGATTTTCACTATGTCAAGATTCCTTGTAAAAACAATTGTATGTATTTTTTTATTATCCTGTTTGTGTCTTTGGACTCTAGTCAAACAGAAGTTTTAAATCGAGTTTCTTTGTCGTACTTAGTATTGACGTCACATTGGACATATTATTGCTCTACGTGTTGAGACATTTTGGTGTTTTAAAGTGGACACATTTGGGCGGAAAGAAATTGTTAGACACGTTTAGGCAAGATAAAAATCTGACACGTTTGGGCGATTTCTGATTTTAAGGACACGATAAGGGTAAACAGTTATTGCGCTATGAATGCAACTAATGACGGAAATGAAAATGTAAATATTGATGTTTATAGTTTGTAAAATACTGTGTTGGAGGGTGTGGGTTGTCAGATTTGCAAAACACCTTCAAATTAATATGTGTAGATGAAAGTCACATATCTATAGTTTAAAAATGTCGAAAATGCATGTTGTATTAAGTCAGAAATGATACAGTGAACTTAATTGTTTGTCATTGGTACTTCTTAAATTGATATAAAATGTCCAAACTAGAATAAAAATGTAAAACTATAGGTCATCATATGGCCTTCAACAATGAGGAATACCCATTACGCATATTCAGCTATAATAGGCCCCGCAATGACAAATGTAAATTAATTCAAACGAGAAAACTAACGGCCTGATTTATGTACAAAAACAATGAACAAAAAGCAAATATGATAAACAGCAACAAACGCCAACCACTGAATTACAGACTCCTGACTTGGGACAGGCACATACATAATGTTGCGGGGTTAAACTAGTTTGTTGATGCAAATCCTCCCCCTACTCTGGGACAGTAGTGGAACAGTACAACATAAGAACAAACTATAAAAATCAGTTAAAAAGAGCCTAACTCATCAGATCGAGTCAAAGCAGAAGAAAATATAAAAAAAAAACACATACCTGATAAAAACAACTTAAAATCATGCGTCTAAGACTAAAATTTCAATCAGTACACATCCAACATCATTAATGTGCATATGTATATAAAGATAATATTTAGTTTGATTTTAATTTACTGATAACAAAATCAATATGTATGCCAATAAAACAATATTCAAAGATCTAATACCAGTTTTGAATAAGTTTAGTTTAAAATATAAAGATGAAGATGTGGTATGATTGCCTATGAGACAACTCTTCACAAGAGAACAAATGAAACAGAAATTAACAAATATAGGTCACCGTGCGGCCTTCAACAATGAGCAAAGCCCATGCCGCATAGTTAGCTATAAAAGGCCCCGAAATGACAATTGTAAAACAATTCAAACAAGAAAACTAACGGCCTAAGTTATGTACAAAATAATGAATGAACGGAAAACAAATATGTAACACAGCAACCAACGACAACCACTGAGTTACAGGCTCATGACTTGGGACAGACACATACAGAATGTGACGGGGTTAAACATGTTAGTGGGCGCACAACCCTCCCCCAAATCCTGGAACAGTGGTGCAACAGAACAATACAAGAACTGTACAGAACAATTAACAAACAAAGCATATGATCAACAGCAACAAACAACAACCACTCAATTACAGGCTCCTGACTTGGGACAGGCACATAAAGAATGTGGCAGGATTAAACATGTTAGCGGGCGACCAATACTCCCCCTAACCTAGGAAAGTGGTGTAACAGTACAACATAAGAACAAACTATAAAAATCAGTTGAAAAAAACTTAACTCATCAGATGGATACAAAAAAAAACACATCTAACAAAACACAGAGTGGACGTGGCCGTGTACTTGTAGATCTCAACAACAAAAAAGACACTAAGTACAGTACAGTACAGTAGTTACTGGCAGCTTGTTTAAAGCCAATAACGACTTATAGATAAAATCATCCATCTAAGACTTCATTATCAATCAGTACACATCCAACGTCCAATGGATTTAGTGTAAAGACGTCATAAACAGTCAGAGAAAAACATGGCCTTCTGCTATGCCAAGATACAGTTATCGACAGATTGTAGAGTCATGAATGTGCATATCTATATAAAAATAATATAAAGTTTGATTTTAATTTACTGATAACAAAATCAATATTAATACCAATAAAAACAATATTCAAAGATCTAATTACAGCGTTGTATTGGTAACCTTTTAAAATATATTTATATAAAAGATCGAAGAGTTTACCCGGATCGTTTCTAACTTTCCGTGTTCGGTAAACAACATCTTCGTAAAAATAAGGATGTGCTATCCCGTTTGAAATAAGTTTTCTACAGGTACAACCAAACTTCAAAACCAAATCTGTATATCTATGGTAGAATTTAGTAAAGGTATTAAGTAATTTGTGGTAACGAAATCCCTGACTTAATAATTTACCAGTAATACATAGATTACGTTCAATAAAATCCAAAACGTCACAACAGACACGGGCATAGCGAACGAGTTGTAATATATAAACACCGTGAGATGGTGCCAAAGGAACACCATCATCCAAAAAAGGAAAATTAACCATAAGGAACGAAAAATCGTCCCTTTTGTCGTAAATCTTAGTGTAGAGTTTCCAGTGTAAAACTGAAATATCTAAATCTAGAAAAGGACAGTTATTACTTTTTATATTTGATTTATTTAAAGTAAGTTCCTTTGGGTAAATTTCGGCAGTATATTTAGAAAATTCTTGATTATTTAACGAAAAAATATCATCAAGATAACGGTAAGTGTTGTTGCATTTATCAATTAAATGCAATTTAGACGAGTCTTTACTGAGTTTGGTCATAAACTATGATTCATGACAGTACAAGAACAAGTCTGCTCTTAAAGGCGCGCAATTAGTGCTCATAAGAGTACATACAACCTGTCGACAAACTTTGTTGCCGAACCGTACATAATTATTATCAAGGAGAAAATTAACAGCTTCAATCATCTCATTAAAGAAGAAGGCTTTAAATGAGTTTCAAATTATATATTTGCATTCAGATTTACCAAACAACCATTTGATTAAATAGGAAAACTTTTGTTTGATAAGATTGTGTGGAAGTGTAGTGTAAAGTGTTTAAAAGTCAAAACTGTCAACAGAATCAAAAGGACCAGCAAAAGCACGTAATTTATCTAAAACATCCAAAGAACTTTTTAAACTCCAACAATATTTTATTCCACTATTTTCATATATTTTATTACAAAAGCTAATGATAAGTTCTTTGATAGAGGTTAAGTAACTAGTTAAAAACACTGAAAGACTAGTAGTAGAACACTGGAGGCCGAGATGAAACGATATCTTACTGTTTTCTTGTGTAGTTTAGGTAACCAATACATAGTAGGGACTTCAAATGTTCAGAAAAGGCCTTAAGCTGTGATGTAGTTATGATATGTTTGTTTACTATATGACTCTCTGTGCAGCGCTGATGGAGGACGATATTTAGGTCCTTTTTTCAAAAAGTTTTTAACCTCTCGGTCTTAAACGATATTGAGGTACCCCTTAATAACATGGCCATAGGGATCATATCTAAA